GCAGTAGTTCTCGGATCCGACCACAAATCAGCCCACCTTCCGATTGCTAGTGTCAGTATTATCCTGGAGAGGCGACTACAGTGAAGTGGGTGCGAGACTGGTGAAACATTTTATAAAAACAAGCGGGGCCTTCCGAGCGCCCTTGCGCAACCGGCGAATATCGCGCCCGACGTCCTGCCAGCCAACGAGCATGTCTACAACCGCGCTTCCCTAAACTCCCAGTGGATCTCTGCGACTACATCGAGGCAGCAATGGTCGACTCTGCGACCGGCTTCGCCGACAGCGACCCGCCGCTCAACGAGTGAGCTACAATGCGTCATTCTGGATCAGCGCCGAGTCTTCCAAACAACAGCAGGCAAGGGCGCCGATCAGAGTTGATCCAACGACGACGGCAGACATTCAACGCGGACCAGCATCGCGGAGACAGCTGGGCAGTGACATGCGCCAGGAACTGCGCCGACAGAAGCGATCGGAGAGAAGAGAATGGATTGGCATCATCTTGGGCCAGTGCAAAGGGCGCCCCCGATTATCAAGAAGCGCTCGATTCGATTCAGCGCCAAAGTGTGCGGGCGGCCATGCTGGAGCAGGGGGTGGAGACAGGGTGCGCGCGCACTGCAGCGGCTGTGCCGCGGGCGATGGGCTTTAGAACAGACAGGTGTCTCGAACCGGCCGTTCAATTTCCGACCCGCTCAGCTCGTTGCTGTTCAAGTCTGTGGTCGAGTACATCGTGGCCTCAATGGTCACAACATGGCAAGACGCTAGACTGGGGGATGCAGCTGGGCCAACCCGCGGCGTCCGACATGGCGAACCTTCGTTTTGCAGGCGATGCGTTCTTGGCGAGCCAATCTCCACCGTGACTCTCCGAGGTGTTGGGCGGTATAATTGGACGGGCCAAACAACTTGGACTTTTGGCCAGGCCGAGAGAACAAACACACGCCATGTCTACTCTCACCCGGCGGGCAGGGATCTGCAAAGGTCCATGCGTGGACATCGGCGGCGTGCACATTGAGATTATATATTTCGCCGGGCGGTTAAATAACTCGGCCAAGCGACCAGCTTTTCCGCCCTTGAGCAGACCGATGTTCACCGTCGTATCATGGCAGCGTGGGCGACTTTTGCAGCTACCCGGCAGGGTGTAGCAAGCGAGCGTTACCCACTCAAGCGCCGATTCTTGCTTTCCCAGAAACGCCGTCACTCCAGCGGTGCTACGTGGTTCAGCTGCGTGGATGTTGATGGGGCCTCTCAAGCAACAGCTCCGCATGACTGAGACAGAATGCTTCCCGTGATGCTGCGTATGCCGCGGCGGCATGCACGATGAGCGCGCCGTGCCTCCGACGCCAGAGGCTCGCGCTGCTTCTCGCGAAGCTTCCGCGGCCGCTCTTTTATCATCGGCTCCTCGCGCGCCCCGTGGCCGACCAATCGAGCGAAGCCGACGACTCTGACGTCGACGGCAATCCTCCACCACGTGGAGTACCCCCCCAATCGACGCCGATGGCGTCTGCGACGCGGACACTGAGGAGGCCGCGGTCGATTTCATCCGACGGTCCACGCATCGCACTTCATGCAACTGCACGCGCCGTCGCGGGTTGGTGACAGAGCGGCACCAGTTACATTGGTGGCTCGCGGCGCAGGTCGCAGCGCACCCAGGGGCAAGACTGGCGCAACGAGCGGAACAGTGGCATCCCAGCCACTCGGCATCCAATTCAGTTGATCGCCATTGTGGTGGTCAGCGTAAACGGTGCGACGGCGATTTTTAGGCGTTTTTGGGCAAGCATCGGTGTGGAGACACAATGCCGGGACATCAACAGACAGGCATGACGGAATTAACGGTACCACTTGGCAACGTTTTGAAGCAAGGCGAGACATGGCATAGTAAGGAGACCCAGCTCGCGAGCGTGAAGCGGAAGTGTGCGCGCGTGGCTTCTTATTTTCGATTAGTGGGGCCACGGCCCGAGTCGTCCCGCCCACACGGGCGCGGCTCTACGATCATTGGGGCCTGATGGACGCTCACTCGCTCGCTTGTTCTTTCGGGTCTCTTCTCGTTTACTTGCCGTTGCTCCGTCCCGCCGCTCCTTCCTCTCGCTCTCCCGCCCTCCCCCTCAAGGCCCCATGCCCCTGCGTCATTGGCTCTCCCCCCCTTACTCCTTCTTCTCGTCCTCCGCCTCGCTTTTCATGTCTGCCTCGTTTTGATGTTATTATTGTTGTTGTTGTTGTTGCTGTTGTTGTTGCTGTTGCTGTTGTTGTTGTTGTTGTTGTTGTTGTTGTTGTTGTTGTTGTTGTTGTTGTTGTTGAGTTCTCACTTCTGAAGAATCATTATTGTTGATCCCCCCACCAGTGCATATTGTTTTTCTCGATCAAAGTGTGCGCCTCGACGCTCGTACCCTGTTTTTGAACAGGGAACGTCTTCCTGTTCAAACTGGGCCCCTGGCCCCCGGCTTACAACAACAACGGTTCCCGCTGGAATTTTCATTACAATTTAGCCAGGACCCCCGCTCCCTCC